TTGTGCTCCCAATGCCCACACAGTAGGTGCACTCCAAAACACTGCAGTCTGCAAAAACAGGTTCACTGAGCCCCACATGTGTGGTGTTTGCAAGTGCACCTGCTAAGTGAGTGACGGGAGGACAGAACAACCAGAAACCAAAATGCATCTTGTTTATTCATAAGTTGAACGCAAGTGCGCACAACATCGGACAGAGCACAAGTTTCTATGGCTGTGTGTCGACTGCGCATATTTCACAAAACATAACGAATCTTCGGTTAATTAAACACTAAGAATTTTATTCGCGAATCGAATTATCCGAGAGATTACTATTCGATTTGTATTCAGATATTAAAGTATTCATACACCCCTAGGAAAATGTCAAGTCTCATTATAGTGGCAGTAACAAGAGCAGCTGAAAAACCCTAGTATGTTAGTACCACATAAACTGTAGACATGAGATATATGCTTACGATAAAATTCCGAGATGCCCCAGCCCTGAAAGGTAAACCACCCCTGTTTTTTAGCTTGATTAGCTGTTTTCTTTTAGCTAGCTATGGGAATATAAAGAACCATTACCGACTGGCAAGTAGAGCCATCATTGCTTCACACTGAAAGTCGGCCCACTCCTTATTTTCACCCAATTTACTCCACACCTCAGATAGCCGTACTTCCATCATGCATACCCGTGGCAACGGCGAAAGCCCCTACAATCAGGTGTGCCAGGTTTGTGTAGTAACCGCAAGCTTTAGCGCCAGTGCACGAGTGCCAACTCAAGGAATAAAAATTTACATTTGATTTTGTCTTAGAAAGGGCTCAGACGGTCATTCAACTCTTTCTTGACCTACCACACTATAACGTAACGAGGAAGTAAAGTATGTTAGCACACAAATGATTTAGTGCTAAATCATTTGTATGCGGTTAAATCCTTCTCCAAGACGTTATAAGGTACGTATGGTGGAAGTATGGCTATTCCCAAGCGCAGATGTGCTTTAGGAGGCGATCCTGTTGATGTCCTGATCTGAAAGTCTTGTTAGTAAAGTAACACGCCTTAAAGAAAGCTGAAGTGGTTCTTAAAAATATAGTTGGAGGTGAATATTTACTTGAATCCAAATGTGACAATTATTTGGTGCAAAATTATTGGCAAACGTAAGAAATCCATGTCCCCCATTCACCATTTACGACGTCAAATATAGACTTTCGGCTACGCAGCGCGTGCCGCTCCATGAGGGTTTTTTTATAATTTTCTTGAAACTCGCTTCGTGGAATTACGTTTCGTAGACAACTTTTCAGGGACACGCGTTTCGTCAACACAATCGTTTTATCAATGCTCGTTCTGCGAATTGCATGCTGTAGGGACATTTCGTCTAGTGTGCATCATAAGGGTGCGCAATAACCCACCCACCTGCCTGCGTTCACGCCGCTTCGCAGCGACAGTCTGCGGCGGCTTATTACAAAAATGTTAACCCACTTGACCGACGCTGCACAAGACTGTCACGGCAACATTCTCATGCAGCTTATTACAAATAACAGGTGTGTCATCCTCTCAACGACATAAGAGGATGACACACCGGGCGACAGCGGTGCCTCAATCTGAGCCCTGGGCCTCGGTTCCTTGGAGGCGGCAGCTTCTACTTTGACTGGGCTACCTCCTTGGAGCCTGATGCTTTGACTCCAGTGGGTCCCAGTGAGCAACAGCGCCATCATGTTCCTGGGGCTTTTTCATGCACCGATCGAACGGTATGCCAGATCCCCATGGCTCGCTGCTAACCCACCCAACCCACCTCGACTAAATCTGGACTTCTGCGAATCGGTCTGCCATCCTCTCCAATACCAAAAATCCATGTCGTCGTCATCGCGCATGTATGTACTCATCACATTTTCATGTTCACTAGACGCGGCACCGTGGCCCTCCATGGTACTGGGTGCTGCTTTTCCGTGGCTCTCCAGAGCAAAATAAATAAAGAGTAATGAAAGACTAAAGACATTTTGCAATGAATTGATTGCCACCTCTCCAGGAGCACGCTGAGTGTGCATAAATTTGATCAGTGCATTCAGTGCACGAGCTTTTTGAGGACCATGCACTTGCACAACGAAAGAGCTCTGTACATGACGTCACAAGCTACAATTTTGAAAGCCCTTTTCAGAGGGGAACTAAAGAATAAACTCGTACTGCGTGGCAAGTTTTAAGCATCTCGTAAACAATTCGCACAAAAGACGAGTGAGGGACAGGACAAGCGGTACTATCGAAAAGAGTGGGGCATTTTGAGATTCAAAGGAAGGCAATGTTGCATTTTTATGCACTAGATTCTAGAAAGGTGAACAAATCCCCTAAACGAAAAAAGGAAATTAAAAAAAAAAAAAAAAAAAAATTAACAAAGCGACTTTCTTCTTGTACTTCTCTTAACACGCATTAAACAGTCAGTCGATACTCGATAGTAACGCTTGTGCGTCTCTGTTGTTATCCTTTATTTTTTTATTTTTTTTTTTGCAATGTTTTCGAGATGATCACACTGGCCCAACAACACACTTTTAATTTCCAATGCGACAACATGAGTAAAGCTATACGCACTCCGGAGTGCGCTTCGCGCGGAAATGGCTATACGCACTCCTCCGAGAGATCATGCCGCTCGGGCCACCCTTTTCGAACGGCGCGTGAATCACTGGGGCGCTCGTTAACACAGCCCCCCGCCTGCGTTCACGCCGCTTCGCGGCGACAGTATCGGCTGCTAATTACTAAGCGTAACCAGTACACGCCGCTTCGCGGCGTCCAGCCGGCAATCCAAGCCCCGCTGTCCCCGATCGCACCTCCGGAAAGGGAGTCGATACCATTTAGTTCTGCAAAGTTTCTCGACAACATTCGATTTTTTTTTTTTTACTGTTCATTGCAAAAAAGGAAATGTCGTAAATATCGCCAAATGCCTCAACAAAACAAAATGTTTGAGAACAAGAAAAAAAAAAAGTAGGCCCACCGCGGATCGAACCCGCGTCCACTTGCGTATGAAGCGGACACCCTAACTGCCCTAACCACTACGCCATGGCACCGCCTAGGAAACTAGTTGTGTCCACTCTTTTTTGTAGGAGAAAAGCGGAGTGCGTATAGCCATTTCCGTTCGAAGCGCACTCCGGAGTGCGTATAGCTTTACTCCGACAACATATCGAGAAAAGCGAGCGCCACTTACCTTTCAACGAATCGAACTCTAACTTCTCGCGCCTCGCGACGAACCCGTGTTTCGCTTCAAAGTGGAGCAGCAAGCCCCCATGGAACGCAAAAGAAGCCGTTGGACACAGATCGCATGCAAGGCGGCAACGGCGAAGGGGAAATGTGACCCAGCTCTTGTCAGATTCCCCGTGGACCTCCTTTAAGTGCCTCTTTAAGTTGTAAATTTTCTTGAAACGCTTATCACAAATCGTGCACTTGTACTTATCTGGGTCGGTCTTAGAAGAAACACCACCGCTTCCTCCAGGTTCCGCGGGTTCCGCCATAGCGAGGAAAGACGAATACGAGCAGACCTAACTTCTTAAAATTTAGGTTATCACCCTAACCGGTAGTGTGCTGCATCTGAATTAAGCCACGCAACACGGTTATGCGAGCACAATAATAATAATAATAATAATAATAATAAGTAAGGACGGCGGTTTTACGAAGTGATAAAGCGTTATATCGCTAGCACAGCTAACATACACAAAAGCTACGGGGCAACCACTAACGATCCAAATTTTAAACTGAGAACCGTTACCACCGTTATTACGGTTGAAACTTGAAAACAGCGAGGCCAGGGTGGCGCCAGTGGGCGGGTCATACGTGATACTATCATGATATAGGATGGTCGAGAAATAAACCAGTTAGCTGAGTTTCAGACGTCCCTTTCTGTGTCTGATCCTTCTACTAAAAAGTTTCTAATTACTTCAACCACAGCCTCAGGTGTTATATGGCATGATTATTATCATCATCATCACCACCACGCAAACAGATTCCCTACGAGCGGTTTTCCCTACGCTGGCGTTGTCCCCAGATCTAGGCACGGGCAGATCTCTGGATAGGCGCTCGCCTATATAGTGCTCTAGTTGAGAGGAGAGAAAGGAAGGAGAATGGCTTCAAACTTCTACAAACTTCGGGGTTTTCACAATGCAGAGAGAAGCAGTGCTAGCAGAGTTCAAGCGGTCTCCCCACAGCGCAGTGAAGCAAATCAAACGAACAAATTGCACTGTTTTTACAGGTCCGGTAGCGCGTCTTCTACCCGGACGTAGACTGGACTCTCCAAACGCAGCTTTGGTGCCCATTGCGAAAATTCTTAGGCATCGCCAACTTTAAGAAAAGGAACACAATCAAAAATAACTTGAACCGGAACGGGGGACGCTCATATTCTACACAAAGAAAAATAGACGGGTGGGTTATTGTCTAAGCTATAGCACCCCCTATACCTTAGATATAGGGGGTGCTAGTTTGAAACTCCCAGTTCTGACTGTTCTGCTTCTACATTCTGTTCTTTTACTGTATGATTGTATCTAACGGGCTTCACAATATCCACGTATGTTTTCTAAACTTTTCATCCTTCTTAAGCTTTTTGTTTATATATATATATATATCAGGGGACCTAATGTACACAAAAAGTGGCGCATTTGAGCGTTGAAAAAGAGAATTTAACGTGTTGTTTTTTGCGCGTATGAAAAATTGTCAATAAAAGGCTTAAAAATCGTTGTTTTTAGTCTTGGCTATTTTGGGCTATATTTCTTTTATAGATTTGGCTATATTTGGGCTATACCTCCCAGCCGTTTGGCGGTTTTTTGTTGGGACCATCTGGCAACACTGACTGGTACAAATTTTGGTCGTGCTTGAAAGTTGAAACTCCGCGGTCGGTGACGGTTGCTCGTGTTCGAATTTGTCCGTTGTATTTGAAGAGTAATTTAAAAAGTAAGTGCTCTTTCGTAAAATCTGTCATTGGGGGTATTTCACGTGTCTCGTTCTTTAAGCATTCCTTGGAAATAAGCTCATAGTTGTGCCCAATGCCATTGTAAGTTTCCCGCGGCTTTTCGTGGTGCCTCCAACGCTCCAGCCACATCGGTCAGTAACGTGAATGAATCGATAAAAGTCGGAAAAAGTGATTCCATTTCATGGCGCGAGTTATTCATAGTGATAAAGAAACAAACATCATGTGCCATTCGATATAGCGGTAACCGTTAGCGTGGTCGTTCATATTAAGCGTCCTGCATTCATGGCTGATAGGGCCTTCGCTGAGATTGAACTGACGAGCAACTCACGTTACAAAGATAGGACTCCAGCCATTCTGGTATTGGCAGCATTGCCTCTTGTGACCTTGTGTGCCTGGGTAATCCCCACGGAGAACTCGCCACACTGGCCCAAAGTTTGTTTCCTTAGTGATGTGGAATGTCATGTTTGACTAGAAGATGCGCTTTGACCGTCAGCAATTTAGAGTTAGCGGGACTTTGAGACATCTTCGACTCCCGGACTCGGGTGTTCAAGATATTGAATGTTCATAAACTCGCCGGCATCTTCTCCGTTATTTGGCTTCTTAAATTGCCATTCGGTGGAAAGCTACCACAGCAATGCGACAGATGCTGTCGTTCTCCTACAGTAGGCGATTCATACGTTAAAACAAGTGTAATGCAGTTTGAGAGCACGCAGTAAACGTTGCAGCAGAAAAGATTTACTTCCCAGTTTGTAGAAATTCTGAGCTACATTTGAAACCTGTTTGTTCCCTTCGGGCAAGTGTCGCAACTCGGAAGCGGCTGCAACTGCTCTTTGTTGTCTCATTGCCAATGTCTGTCTTTGAATTGATTGCAGCCTTTTTCGATTTTCACATTTTCAGGGATTTTGCTTCCTGATACGCAGGCATGGTACCAAGCACTAGTGTTTCGGAAGAAGCGACCAATGGGCAAATAGAGGAGGAGGAGGAGGAGGAAGATGAAGAAGGAGGCATTCGTGAGTAGTTCTTTCATGTTGTCGAACAAAATGTAAAGGGTGCAAGTGGTGAAATAAGGCGAGACGAGAAGTACCCGAGGTTGAAGTTACTTAGGGGTGAACATAGGCAGATCGGCTATGTGTTTGTAATGTCCCCTGAGTGTTAGAAAACTTTTATTCGGTATATGAATGCTGCCAACATGGCCGCTCACTTCCTTCTCAGGTGTGCACTAAAGGGCACTTTTCAGCACGCATATTGGGCACCAACGGCCAGGCCAGCAAAATGTCTTCCATGGTTTTGCCAAAATTCTAAAATATTTCCTTTTAAGCACTGTACATTGTACTGATCCTATTTCTACGTCATCACCAACCAGCTCTCATGACGGGACAGGTAGTATACCCCTGTCAAACTTTTTCTCATTTCGTTTCTTTGGGAAAACAGCATAATAACCTAAAGCAAATTAGGGGTGCATGACAGAGGGGGAAACAGCACACCAGCATTCTCTGGTGTCATGGTGAATTTCTGAGGAAAACCAAAAAGGAATCCTTTTCGGACTTGATTTTTGTACTTATGCAGTGATGTGATTGCTGCGCCAATTGCGCCAAACTGCGCCAAGGGCCTAACCCTGCTACATCCTGCTACATTTTGCCAAATTATGGGTAATCTGCGCCAAGCCTGCGCCAAAGGACCAATTTAGGTCGCCTTTCAAAACCGAACCTAAACCGAGTACTGTAATTGAGCAGGCGTGTGTTATGTGGCACAAGCGGCCGCCTGACACAAAGTACCGTGAATCAATTGTCCACTCGGTCTTGCATGGTTTTTCCGGCGTTTCGCGCTCTCGTCTTGTGGGTCTCGTCTCTTTTTTTTTTTTTTTATATTTTCAGCGATAGACGTGGATGTGCGCAGACACTCTGACGCTAGCGTGCCGGGTACCAGCCATGCCGTCGTGCTGTGAAACGAAACCATGCTTTTGCACGGCAGGAGTTACTTCGTTAGCTGAAGCAACGGCAGTGGGAAAACTATATTTGGTCACTGCCTTTCAGTCACCGTGGTCGCGCGACGTCCAATGTTGCCGTCCCCACATCACTGCAGATATGGTACTTTCTAAACTGTAACGTAAGGACCGCCGCATGTTCATCAACGTTCCTGTTCTTGTTTAAATTATACGGTACTACAAAAATCCATCTTTAATTCAAAGACTGCTCTGTCAAAGTATTGATTATCGAGACTCTTCTCGGTGGGCCTTCTTTCGAGAGGGACCTCGGTACGTGAAAAATCTGCTGTGAAAGAAAGTTGGTGAAGGGAAGTGAGCTCAAGCAAAGAAGGCAGTGTCTGCACGCTGAACCTGCATAGCGCGCGTGTGTTTGTCTCGAGTTCAGTCGTTGCACAAAGTGCTCCAAGAATGTTTTGAGGCTGGCTCGCAATGTCTTGCATCAATGCACTCAGCTTCTTTATTTTTTGTGTGTTTAGCTTGTACCTTGTTTGCCGGCCTGGCAAGCACGCGCCACTGGACTGGTTTTGTCGTATGCTCGAAAGTTACATTTTGTGTACAATTTTGGGGATTAGTTAACGACGGAACTGAGGGTCATGGTTTCGGTTTCGATCGGACAGCCGTTGTCTGCGCTCGCGCGACAAAGCATGCCCAACAGCAAGCCTGCCGAAGTTTGCCTCACATGCATGCGAACATGATTGCGTGACTGAGGCACCAGCTGGGACGCTTGCGATTCATTGTTTTACGTTTGCTTACTTTTGACGAAAATCTGGCACGTCGGGAACCGGTGGCAAGCGGTTTTTCGAAATTGCTTGGCAGTGCCTACAGCACTGTACACTTGTGGGATGTCTGAGCAGTAAAAACAGAAGCAGCGAGTTCTATCACAACACGTCACATCAGAACACAACACAACACAAAGTGCCCTTCGTTTGTACAGCACTTAAAACAAATATATTTATTTTCCTAAGAATATCTGCTCCAAAATCCACTTTTACTGCTCCGAAACACTGTCTTGGCTGCTCCAAAAGCCGCTTTTGCTGCTCCAAAACACTGTTTTGCTTGCTCCGGAACGTGCGCCAAAATGGCTTAGGCCAATCACATCACTGACTTATGCGATGGTGGATTGAAATTGTACTCAGCCCATGAACACTAATACAGAAAATATATGCTGAAATTTAATCTGACAGTTAATATTGTCAGAGCAAATCACCTATACTAGAAACCATCAGGAAAGAAAAAAAAGAAAAGATGTATGCCAGTAGGAATGAATTTTCCAAAGGACCAAAGTGAGCTAATTTGTTAAATCAGTTTCTCAGAACAAGGACCCCGAGTTCCAGCTCTGGGAAATGGGCGAAAGCAAGAAGCCAGCACCTTGCTGGAAATGTGCGACCACTACACAGGACTACCCTGTCCTTCAGGGGGGGAAGTGAATGGTTTTACGAAATTTAACATTTGTCGGCATCCTGACAGGCATGCGTGGAGCTATCGCCCGTCCACGGAGGCGGGCATCTGCGGCTTTTCCACTTTCTTCCCCTCTTTTCTGCTTGTTTCTTTTTTAATCAGATGCGTCCACATAATGTAAAAAAAAAAAAACAAGATTTGCTTGATTGCCTTTAAACCCAATCGTGTTTCTGTTTTCTATCTGCCACATTTTTTTGGGTTTTGCCCGAATATGAGGATATGCTGAACCATGCGCCGGCTATCTTTGGGAAAGGTCGACATCTGTAGCGATATTGTAGCGTGCGTGTGTCCCAAAGTGACAGGAGCAGTGCACGATAGCAGCATCCTTACTCATGCCTGCTGCAGAGGATAGGTAGAGGTGTGGGGTCTGGTTTGGCACTTTACTTTTGACTAAATGGTATGTATCTATGCGTGTTATTGGGTTCAGTGTTGCGTATTCAAGTACTTACATGTGGTATTGTATTTTTATATCTTCATGTTAATTATTTCAATTCTGAAAGCTCGTTTCAAAATAAATTGAATTTGTATATTAAAGACTCAACATGGCTTTTCCAATTCAATCCCACATAATTCCCCCCCTCGCACGGCCGGTTTATTTCTTCGGGGAAAGGTGGCACCCCTAATTCCACCTTATAAAAGCCAAGTTCACATTAATGTTTTTCAAGTTCCTGATCCGCTTTGGGACTTCCCGCCAAATCTGTCATGACCAACGGTTTGGGGAACACGGCATGATGCGCTCGGGCTAACCGAATCGCGTGCCACGCGCTTTCACGCAGGCATCGGAGACATTTACGTGCCCCCTCCACCTCCCGCCTCGTGCACATTCGATCCAACGGGACCACGTCTGATGATCTCCAGGATCGAAAACCTCAACTTCAAATCCTACGCCGGAAAGAGGGTCATCGGGCCGTTTCACAAGGTGGGCCCGGCGGTGCCAAGATCGGGCGTCGTCTTCTGACGGGGGTTTACGAGATATTTTAATTATCGCCAGTGTGCAATTGCCCCGTTCGTTGCTGCGCGACAAAAGCACACTTTTTCCCGTCTAGAGTAGCGCTCTTGATGAGACTGGCACCATCTATTGGGCAGCCCTACAACACTCGCGATTTGAGTATATTTCATAATTTTTTGTGCACTTTCCTTTTACCATGGGCTTGATAAGTGTTTGGCGACGTTGTTAATGACCATTTTTTCTGAATGGTATGTACTATCGATCTCTCACATACTGCAAATCCTTCAGTCTAGTTAAATGCAGTTCTGGGGCTACCTCACCAATGGTGCTGGCGTGCTCTCTCTTCACGAGGCTACACGACGCGCTTGGTCGCAATTGAGCACAAGCGTGTGAACCAGCCTTAAAGGTTGACCAACGGGCAGAAAGGAGGAAGCTTACTCCTCGATTTTCTCCTCGCCGTTTTTCCCGCAACAGAAAATGAAGGAAAGAACCCTTCCGCTAAATGTTCCCGAAATTCATACTGAGTGAAATCCACGAAATTATTTGACCGGAAAAATAAAGTTGTTTACAGTACAACAAACGTTGAGGTCTCTGAGCCTTTATTCTAGGTTCTTATCGAAGAAAAGAATGTGGGATGATGGCCTAAAAGAATATACATGTCAGGAGGAGACTGCAGCGGAGCATCAGCGTAGCGTATCCAGCCGAGGTTGTCACAACAATGTTTGACCCTCTTCTAAAAGAAGTAAACACTAGAAATGAAGATCTTCTCTAACTGCCATGACCTCGAAAGCTCTGCTGTGCCTTTGGGACACCTCGGTATCCTCACGCAGACCATCAATAAGTAAAAAAATGGCGTACGGTGATATGCGAGTCGTCGTCATTTGTTGGTGGCATATCTGCGCTCTTGAACATACACTGTGCCGCCAAAACTTAGCCTAGCGCATAGTAAAAAATAAATATTTAAAAAATAACAACACACAACCAGCAGCTCAATGCCGCTGGTCCTATGTAAAGAAAAAAGGGAAATCTCCATTGACCCCTGAGCTGACAGTGCTAAGGGAGTTGCAGGATCGCCAAACCCCGCTCCCTGTGCGTGTGTATAAACAGAAGCGTAATCACGTGGCTAAAGATAGACATAGGGCTAGTACGACAAGAACGTAGCTTCCATTGTACTGTCAGCTTAAGAGTGAAAGGAGTATGGTGCTTCTTCGAAAAGAAACTCGTGAGCGCGTCACAGAATAGCTCGAACAGCAATCCTCGAATCCGAGTTGGGCGATAGCAACAGCCCCTTTCTGTGCTCATTTCCTGCCGGTGTGAATAATCCCTGTTCTTCGGGTTTCGAAGGTTATAAGGCGTTTAGCATGCAAGAAAGACGTAAAGAAGTGAGAAGAAACTTCAAGGGGGAAAAGGAGAGAAATCTTTTGCCGGGAAGAATTCATTTTTGCTCGTTGGGCTTTAAGATTTTAAGACTTACTTCTCCATGCAGAACTTTACAGCCATAGTGGGGCCCAATGGCAGCGGCAAGTCGAACGTCATCGACTCCTTGCTCTTTGTGTTCGGCTACCGGGCCCAGAAGATCCGCTCCAAGAAGGTTGGCGTGCTCATCCATAACAGCACCAACAACACCGACCTGGACAGCTGCAGCGTTCACGTCTACTTCCAGAAAATCATTGATACGGTGCGATTTATTATTCTATTTATTTCTTCATTTCAAACACCCTCGTCGCCCAGGGGCATTACCGAGGGGAGCAGGTTACGAGGCATTTTTGTTCTGCTGCCTTATGACCCGAGGGAATTTGGTTGTACTGCAGTCTCACGACACTTGCTATAAATGTCGCGGTGCTTGTACCTTAAAAGGACCGTGAAAAGATTTCAGGCTTTGGCTCCCAGAACTGATGTCACGTTTTGTCTACAGAGTGTGACACTGTTAGGACGAACGAGCAATTGTCGGGTTTCCTTGTTCTTGTTCCGAAAATTGAATTGCTGCCATTGAAACTGCTGGTGTGGTACAGCGTTTATTTAGTACTTCGACCTAATTGGCAAAATTTTGCCCGTGGCAAAACCTCGTTTCAACAAAAATGTAAAAAATAAAAAAAAAGGGTGTTCATGCCGCATTCGCTCCAACCGTGTCGCCGATAGTTTACCGTAATGTGACTTGTGCTCTTTTGAGGAAGCTGCCACTCGTCATTTTTTGTTCCAGGATGAGAACAACTATGAGGTGGTACCCAATTCTGAGTTTGTTGTTGGGAGAACCGCCCACCGAGACAACTCGTCCTACTACACCGTCAACGGCCGACGCTGCACCTTCAAGGAGGCCAACAGGGTGCTCCGCTCTTTCGGCATCGACTTGGACCACAACCGCTTCCTCATTCTTCAGGTGCTCACCTCCGGCTGGCTGGCCTATGCCTGTTTTTGTGTGGGATCATCGTCAGTTACGCCGGGAAGGGACGGCCGCACCGATTGCGCTATTTTGACACGTCCACAATTTTCTGCTCGCAGCGCCAAAAAGCGTGAAATCGACCAAAATTGCGCCACCACGCTTCGTGAAAAGATCACGGTGACTCTAGATTTAGCGGAAAGTGAAAGCTCAGTTGACAACCCTGGCTATTCCATCGCCAAAGGGTGCAAGCCACCGCCTCATTCCTTGGTTCAGCCATATTTGTCGATCTGATGGATTCAATGTATCGTACATCCTAGCCATTGTACCGTTACATTGTACATGTACATTGTATGATGCAACATAGCATGTAGCATTAATGTTCCCGAGTCGGGCCGCTTCATGTTTAGTCTAAGTTTGTTCCTAGAAATAAAATATCTTTCTGTGTGCAATTTCAGATATTTCAAAGTAATTCAATACTTTCCAACACTTGCAGTACAAAACTAGTTTGGTACAACTGGCTAAGATGATTTCTTAAAATGATGTCGCAATTACTCCTAGAATGCTCCACAATGCAATTTTTTTATACTTCAGTGCTCTAAAACGCAGGTTCTTCTGCTCCTAAGTTGCTCCAAAAATATAGGTTTTCTGCTCCTAAGCTGCTCCAAAGTGTGGACTTTTCTGCTCCAAAAATTGCTCCAAAACCAGTTTGGTCTGTCAAACCACTGAGCCGCCTCGGTGGCTCCGAGGCGAGAGCGCCGGCCTACGGATCCCCAGGTGGCGGGTTTGAATCCCGGCCATGGTGCCCGCAATCTGACGGAGTCTTATTGCGGAGAAGGCGCTGTGTAACCGAGCTTTCGGTTGCTCGTCAAAAGATCCCCAGGTGGTCGAAATTAATCCTCAGTCCTCAGCTGGGGCGTGCCAGATGCCCGTCGTTGGTTTGGCACATAAAACCCCCAAATTTGACTTTTGTCAAACCACTGGTTACGTTCCCAACTTCTGACTGAGCTGGAAACGCAAACAAATGTGTAGTTTTCAAATCTTCCAGGTTTTTGTTCCTGATAAGACTCTTAGCGTGTGAGAAAGACATAAGGAAGTGAGAAGGAACTTCGAGGGGGAAACGAAGGAAAGCTAACCTAAACTTATTTTTGACACAATATTCTATTTTTTCAAAAACACTGAAAGATAGCTCATTTTTAGTAATTGCAGGGCCCTGGCCAATGGTTAGCTTGGCAGAAATGGTGTTACTTAGCCATGAGCGCATATTGCTGACTGGGAAGGACAGTCTTCTTTGGTTCGTCTTCCGCGATTACAAGTTTGGCAGGTCACAAAATCTAAAATTTGAATTTTTTCCAACTTTTTTTGATCACGCATAGGTAGAAAGTTAGCTTTCTCCTCATTTTCACCCGATGTGCTTTCGATTTAAGGTGGGCTATCTCTCGGGATGTTACTGTATGTTAATTTCATTACAGTTTAGTCTGTCTAAGGTTAGGAACTGCAAGGCAAGCTCCTTCCACAAAGCCCTCCACTCTTTCCACTTTAGCAGAATGAAGGCTGGAGAGGAGGCAAGTGGAGATCAGCAAACCACCAATTGCAGAGAGTTTTGTGGAAGGGGCTTTTTGTCCCGCTATTCTAAATCTTTAACGGAGTATACGGCAAGCGATTGTTTCAAAATGCGTCTGAGGCGCATCGGAATGCAAGGAGTAGCACGCCAATCAGACAACACTGAGAAGGCGCAGAGAATGCGCGATGACGAGGCAGCCAAGTGGGCACCGTCATTGATTGAGGTTTGGGGGAAACCAAAGTATGTAGGCGTGTGTGGGGGGTGAACAAATGCACAAGGTGCGCAAGGAGCAGACAAACTTGTATGCCGTATAGTATCTTTAAGTTCAACCGTGCAACGTTTGCTGCCACGATAAGGTGAACACGCAGAAGCACTGACATCTTGCATGTGTAGCTTTGATAGCAAATGGTATTTTTCTCCACTATACTTGCCAGGAGTATGAGAAAATATCCAGAAAATGGGCTTCCTTCATAAGGCCCTTTTCCTAAAGATAATAATAGTTTGGTACCCTGTTTTTCATTCACTCTGACACGTGCAGCATATTTATTGAGAGATTTTCAAAGAGAACAACTTAGTAGTCTCTTTGCCATTATGAAAATGAATATCCAGCCTTAAGATTAGGGACACATGATTAGTGCTTCACTTTAGAATGAACCATGGTAATCAGATGTTGAATATGTATAGTACCCTGCTTCTTAAATTGTTTGACTGAATTGAATATAACTAGATATTGCCACGTCCATGGCCGAGAAGGAACACTTCTCTTTACCTCTAGAAGATTCGAGCTTTTAATTATGCCCAGTCAGTCTTGCTCTAGCTCACTCACAAACATTCTAGGTTGAATATTCGAAATAGTGAAGTAGGTAAAGAGCCCAATGTGTCCTTGCCGACTCATTCTCTCGCAGTCTCGCTCCAGCCAGCTGTTAGGAGGCTCATCTTTTTTTTATTTCTGGCACAAGTTCGCCGATTAAACCTTTATTTGCCGTTTACGCTTGTCGAGCCTTTTCCATCCGCTACAATATCTTGAGTGAAACTGGGCGAAATAAGGTTTTTTAAGGAGTCTTCCGTGGCTGTTGTCAATAACTCAAATCTGTATTAATTGATAGCTTTGTTTTTTCCCTAACACTTATGTATACTACTTATACTACTTTATATTTTCGTGTATCATTATTTTGAATATTGTGTATATTTATGTTGTTTATCTGCTGTTGTTGGGGAGACAGAGGCTTCTCCACAGCAACCAAAATAGAGTTGCTTCTTTCTCTGCCCCCCTTCTCCAAATATATAAAAACAAAGAATTTGAATTTAAAAACTACCGTTTCCAGGGTGAGGTGGAGCAGATTGCCTTGATGAAGCCTAAGGCTCAGACGGAGCACGACCAGGGCATGCTGGAGTTCCTGGAGGACATTGTGGGCAGCTCCCGCTACAAGGAGCCTATTGAGTTGCTCAGCCAGCGCATCGAGAAGCTCACCGAAGAGCGGGCCGACAAGGTCACCGACCGACTTTCTCTTATCTGGGTTCATTTAAAGTTGCATTGTATAAGAAGCTAAAGAAGCGTGCGTGCTGCACTTGCGGACGACTTTCTGTGGCTGTGCAGTCAAAGGTACAGGTGCGCGTGCGTGAGCGCCGAATAAACCTTCGTACGTGCACTCCTCTCATTTGAAAATGCGCAGGAAGTTGTCCACGGGTATAGGCTTTCGTTGTTTCAACTTTATTAGCGTGCCTACAATTGCAGGTCCTTGTTCAGGGACTATTGCCCACTAATCAAGATTGAGTGTGTAATACTGGAAACTGCTACAAAAAAGTTATTCAGTGCATAAAACTAAAACCACAAAACTAGCTAATGCCAAATGGACAGTCTGATTTCTAGTGAATACAGTGAATGGACACCCCCCTTTCCCTAAAAAAATGGTCTATAATGTTAGTTGGTCATAATAGCGAGCAAAAAATTATGCGACGATCACACGACGTGACGAGTTTAGACAGTAACAGCTGTGCTGCTTCTTCGACGACATGCCAATGACAATCGATTGGCATTGCACCAACTGTGCGTCATATGGTGATGTGATATTGAAACAATGCTCTGTTGATTTAGCATCGAGACGTTGTTAAATAAGTGATTTTAAGGTTGTGAAGGGGTTTCCCACTAAATTTAACGGGGAAACTGAATTAATGCATAGGTCACAAAACATCAATTTTTCCACTAAATTTAGTGGAAAACCTGATTTTGTCTGTAGGTCCTGTGACGTCGGATCACGTGGCAATAATTTTTCCACCAAATTTAGCGGCCAAACCTCTTGTTTATGCTCACGCCATCGAAAAACCGGTAAAGGGCTACTAACAGCTGTCCCTATAAAATGGAGGTGTTTGCCTAGTTCGGCTCGAAAATGTTGTTGCCATAGCAGGGTGTCCATATTAATGGGGTCTGCTTTTGATTAAGTTTCATATACACAGTTGCTCTAATGGGATTTATGCTATGAAGGTGCTCATTGTAAATTTTTGTTGGTGTAGTTAAACAGGGTGAAACTTGTGGAGAAGGACATGGAAGAACTTCAGGGCGACCGTGATGAAGCCATTGAGTTCCTCAAGATTGAGAATGAAATGACCCTCATTCAGAATCGGCTCGTCCAGCTGTACAGGTGCGTGTTTTTTATTGTGTGCAAGGTGGTGGTGGTGGGGGGGGCAGTCTTCATTTGCCAGCTGACAACTCTTCCAGACCAAAGGCCGTGAAGATCACAACAGTCTGTTACTAGACTTGGCACTTATATGTTCAATAAATAGTCAAGAGTGTGCCTTTACTACCAGAAGGGAATGTAGAGACAATTCTCTTATTTGCTTTTGTAAATCTGCTGTTTTGTAATGTTTGAATGACAACATTATGCTCCCTGTGTAAGTTTTATTGGAGAAATAAGCAGCTACTGGTCAATAGCCAGCATTGATTTGTGTCGTGACTAACTCTACATTGAAAAGCGTAAATAAAAAAAAGTGGTGCAAAAAAAAAAAAACACAAAAGAAAACGGAGGATTACCGTATTTACTTGAATATAGGTCAATGTCTTTATATTAAACTTGCCAAGAACAAAAAAAAAATAGTTTAAATATAGGTGGGTTGACCTTTTTTTTTTTTTTTTTTTTGAAGAACAGGGAAGTTAAAGCAAAAGAAAGAAACAAACCTTTATTTACAGCGCACTCGGCTAAATCACAGCGCGATGCCAAAAACTTAATGATCGTCAGAACTTTCGGACACGTCATTGTCATTGGAAGCTTCATCAGCTTCGAAGACATCCTCACAAATTCGCAACTATACCATGCTGACACCGTTGTAAAATGGTGTCAGCATGGTGTCAGCATGGCAACAAGAAACGAAAAAAGGCGGAGGCGGGTGAAGCGACGAAAGACAAAATACAAAGACGCGAGCAGCGCCGCGAGTCGTCGTGAGCAACGTGCGAGGTGCCGTGAGCAACAAAAAGCAAAAGTAACTTCCGTATTTTTTTATATTTTCTTTGAAGCGTGTCCGCGAGGGAAAGTGGGATAAAGGGAACGGGAGGGAGCAAGGTGCATGGCGCACCGCGTCCCTCCCCTTCCCCCCTTGCGTAGCGAGGAGAAAGCGTGAGCGCCACCTGCAGCTAAAGCATGGAACATGTGACCAGTAAAAGTGGGCGCTGTGCAGCACTCGCCGCTTGCTGCTAGATGCACCACAGGCGCACCGCGCGGCTTTATCTGTACCAACCAGACCCGAGCACCGTGCGGAAGTGAGATACGGATGCTGGCACTGGTTCCCGTGGATAGTGGCACGCGCTGACGCAAAGCACCCTTTTTCATCGCTCATGTGTCCCTTGCTTCATGGTACATTTACAGTACACCCGAGAAGAAATCCGCGGCAGCGATGAGCGGGTTGTGTTTACATCTATTTCCTTCGAGCGGCAGCCGAGGCACCGGTTGCGGCAGCTGTTCTCGTAACATTTGTCAAAATAATGAGAAGGCGCGAGAGTGCCCACTTTGGCTGTCCCTCCCGGGCGTTGCTGCTCCCCAGTCTCGCTGTTTTTAGCTCGACAACTAGGCGTGAGCTTCACATTGATGCTGCATCCCAAACAGAAAAAACAGCGTGAAGCTGATGGATGATTACGTAGACGAAGAAGAGCCCTGCTTGCAATGGAGGAAGTGGAGCAGCGAGCTTCGAAAAAGCAGCGTCGCCGTCGGCAGTGGTGGGTCTGCCCGTACTTACAGGACTGCGAAAGGACGGGACAAGCAAGCTGCCTCCTTTTTCGTCTTCGCTCGTATGACAAGGAGTACTACTGAGAGTCTTCGTTCCCAGCCATGCCAGCAACGCTGGATGCAGTGATGTGATCGCTGTGCCAATTGCCCCAAACTGCGCCAAGGGGCTAACCCTGCTACATCCTGCTACATTTTGCCAAAATATGGGTAATCTGCACCAAGCCTGCGCCAAAACACCAATTTCGGTTGCCTTTCAAAACCGAAACTAAACTGAGTACCGTAATTGAGCATGCGTGGGTTATCTGGCGCAAGCGGCCGCCTGACAGAAAGTACCCTGGATCAACTGTCGGCCCGGTCTTGCATGGGTTTCCCGCCGTCTCGCGTTCTCGTAGTGTCGTGGGTCTTGTCACGAGTCCTTTTTTAAATATTTTCAACGATAGACGCGGGTGTGTGTGGGCGCTCTGACGCTAGAATGTCGGGTACCAGCTATGCCGTCATGTTGTGAAACGAAACCACGTTTTTGCGCGGCAGGAGTTACTTTGTGAGCTGAAGCACTCGCTCCTAAAAGCAACGGCCGTGGGAAAACTATATTTGGTGCCTGCCTCCCAGTCACTGTGGTCGCGCGACGTCGGGTCTTGCCGTCCCCACATCGCTGCAGATATGGCGCTTTCTAAAATGAAACTAAGTACCGCCGCATGTTCATCAACATTCCTCTTCATATTTTAATCATACGTTGCTAAAAAAAATCCCTCTTTAACTCAAAGACTGTTTTATCGAAGTATTGATTACCTATAGTAAGTTACAGGTCAAGAAAGTAGCGGCAAATGCCCCTCAAAGGGATTCATATATCCCTCCGCCACCTTCTCATCCAATAGCGTCCCATCGTTTCCGTGACGCCGTGGCCAACGCGGGAGAGGGCTTTGACTTTCTGTGAATATTTGCTTTATCTTTCGACTTCTACTTAGCGTTGTGAAAGCCACGAGAGGGAGATTAGAATTTTCCCCCTTTGATGGAAACAAAAACGACTTTGGGGGGTTAGGTTTCCCCTCCGATGGATACAAAGGCCACTTTCAGAGGCTCGGTTCCCTTTTCGATGAATACAAGGGTCACTTTCTTAAAAAGTTGGGGTTGGAGACAACTTTTGATTCTTTTGATTTTAAGTAGTTGGAGACAAGTTAACTCTGTAGCCATTATCTATTCATTGAAGCGGAACAAGGGGCGTTTCCAGGGAACTATTCTTTCGACTGCGGATGGATTTGAAACGGGCGCATCACGCTTATGAGAGCTTCTCCTACCTTCTTGACTGTAGGTTTCTCTCAGTGGGCTTTTTTTCAAGAGGTACTCCGGTACATGAAAAATCTGCCACGAAAGAAAGTTGGTGAAGAGAAGTTAGCTAAAGCAAAGAAGGCAGTGTCTGCACGCTGAACCCGCACAGCGCGCTTGTTTGTCTCAAGTTCAGTCGTTGCACAAAGCGCTCCAAGAGCTTTTTGACTGTGGCTCGCAATGGCTTGCATCAATGCGCTCAGGTTTTCTTTTTTGTTTGTGTGTGTATGTGTGTGTGTGTTTAGCTTGTACTACCTTGTTTGCCGTCCGAGCAAGCACGCGTAGCTGGACTGTTTTTTGTCATATGCTCGACAGTTACATTTTGTATACAATTTTTGGAATCAGTTGGCGACGGAGCGGAGTGGCATAGTTTCGGTTTTGATCGAACAGCCGTTGTCTCCGCTCGCGCGATGAAGCGCACGCAATTGCAAGCCTACCGAACTTGCCCTCACGTGCATGCGAACATGATTGCACGACAAAGGCACCAGCCTGGACGCTTGCAATGCATTGTATTATGTTTGCTTACTTTTGACGAAAGTCTAACACGTCAGGAACCAGTGAAACGGTGGCAAGCAGTTTTTCGGAATCGCTCGGCAATGCCTACAGCACTCTACACTTGTGGGATGTCTCAGCAGTAAAAACACAAGCAGCGAGTTCCATCACAACACGTCACATCAGAACATAACACTATACAAAGTGCCCTTTGTTTGTACAGCACTTAAAACAAATATTTTTTTTTAAATATATGCTCCAAAAGCCACTTTTGTTGCTTCGAAACTCTGTCTTGGCTGCTCAAAAAGCCACTTTTGCTGCTCCAAAACACTGTTTTTGTTGCTCCAAAGGCCACATTTGCTGCTCCAAAACACTGTTTTGGCTTCTCCGTAACGAGCTCCAAAATGACTTGGGCCAATCACATCACTGTGGAAGTCTTCGACGCCGTTGATGCCATTGGGAAAAACAAACAGGAAGAATGCGCACTCGTGGCATAGGCTGCATTGTACTGCGCAAGGATGTCACTTCTGGTCAGCCAAACGCCACGTTCGGCGGCAGAAATAGGTCCTGAACGTATGCGGCTCGCCGCCGCATTTTCCGCCCAGCGTTCCACCCCAGCGGCAAAAGCTGAGTGGATTCGCTCGCAGATCCACAAGTGTAAATGACCATAAGGCGCAAAACCCAACGCCCGAGGGATGCGCGCAAGCGGCGGCCACGGCAGGCGGGCCGCCGGCTGCTGCTGTTTCAGTTGTTTTCGTGCACCAAAAGCTTTCTGAAACAAGGAGTGGCGCTGCTCTGCGGCAACGCCGGTTCGGTGACTCGAAAGCTCCATGCCCTCGGTTGGGGTTGCAAAATTTGGTCACGGATGTAGGTCGAAATTCTTTGGTCACGATTATGGGCCGACCATTAATTCTTCTCAACATTACCAAAAATAAAAAAAAGGTAGACTTGTATTTGAATAAATACAGTATACCCCGTTCACCCTTAAGCTGAGACTACGGTCAAAGCTATGCGCCCGCCGGACCAACCAACCGCCTCCCTCTTATTAGCTGACCCGGCTCTCCATGCATGGGTATGGCTGGGAGCGTGATGAAGTGGCGAAAGAGAGGTGTACGACTGGTCCACTGAGGACGTAGCTTCCACCACAGTCTCAGGTTAGGGGCGATTGGAGTATAGAAGGAGCACACAAGCACAGCGCTGGCTGGCAACTGAAATTTCACTCCTTTGTTCTCGACTTGATACTGGTACTGAATAAATTTGTATGTGCATACACAGAGAAGTGGGCAAGGACAAGCACAGTAGTGTTACTTGCACTTCCTGTTCCTGCCAGTTGCCAAGCAGTGCTTTGTTGTTTTTTTTACTTAAGTTTTGGCAAATTTACGAGCCCAACTCCACGCCCTGTTTCTACAGTGACTTAAATTCAATGGGGTAGTGCCGAAACCCATCACAAGCTTGTAATACCTTATATTTATATTCCTTATATTTACCTTATATTTATATTCTCGTTTTGTTACATTCAATTTGATGTCAAATGCTGACTGGTAGACCTTCGACTCATAAGCTGGTATACTGCTTTTTTTTAGTGTAAACATTGCTTTCTCTCTCTCAAGCGAGTCAAACTGGTCAGTGGAAACCGTGCTAGACATCTGTGTTCAGTAGGCGAGCAGTGCAAATTTTCTTTCTTATAATTCTCTGAAACATTCAGGCTAAGTTTTCTAATTTTGGTTGGATGGCAACGCTACGTAGCAGTGTACCAGCATCCGATCGAAATTACGGCGTGCTTCATCACTAGAGCAATGTCATGGCTTGAATCCCGGAGCAGCAATCTTGGTCTCATTGGTGTTTGAGAGTTGCCAATTTTGATAGTCGCCGATTTGCCTCGGAATTGGTTCAACAGATTGATAGACACATCTGAACTACTTTAAAGGTAGGAAAGAATGCTCACTTAAAATTAAGAAACAAATGTTTAAAAACATGGGGTGGGCTATCTTTGGAAATGCCACAGCAAAATTTTATCAAAATTGATGATAAACGCCCTGGCAACGGCTACAAACCACGGGATGCGGGAACTGATACCGCAGATAGCGGACACCGCAAATTCACGTTTCACGATGCGATAAACATGCGGAAGTTCGCTACAAACTCCTATGTCACGGGAAAGAATACCGCAGGTTGCGAACGCAGCAGGTTCACATTTTACCGTGCGAAGGACCCGCGGAAACCCGCCAAAAACTCTCATCTCATGGGAGCGAATACTGACAATCGCGGACGCAGCAGGTTCAAGTTTTATGGCGCAATAATCACTCGGGAACCTGCTATGAACTTGCCTGTCACAAGAACTGATATTGTGTGCGCAGATTGTGGACAAAAACACAGGAATCCGCTATAAACTCTTATGTTACGCCATTACGGGAACAAATATCGCAGATCGCAAACACAGCAGAATCGTGTTTCACAATGCCATAACACCCGGGACCAACTCACGTAAAATTGAGATCGCACGCATAGATCGTGGACAAAAACACGGGAATCCGTTACAGACTTTATGTCACGGAAATGGATACTGCAGATTGCGGACGCAGCATATTCGCATTTTCCACTGCAACATGCACGCGGGAACAACTCGCATGATACAAGAGCCGACGTCGTGCATGCAGATCACGGACAAAAATGTGGGAACCTGCTATGAACTCGCTTGTTAGACGTGTAGGTACAGCAAATTGCGCAGTTAAAGGATTCACGTGACATTTAATGGGAATCGGGGGGGGGGGGGGGGCAATGTTTTGTAATTTCTATGTTACAGATATTTTGCCACAAAAACAGGATGGGCAATCTTTTGGGGAGGGTGTTCTCTCGGAACTTTTCATTAGCAACGCAAATTACGTGTTGCAAGATTTTTTTTTTTTCTTCTTTTTTTTTGCAGAGTTGTTTAGTTCTGAAGTTTGGTCCTAAAGGCCGAGAGGCTGGCAACGCTGAAAATGCGGCGTCAGATACTTTGGGCGCAGTACAACTGGTTCCTGAAGCGTTACAAGAAGTTTGTTGGTGCGAAATGAACGCTGGGTATTCCATAAATGTTTGTCTAGTTTCAGATGCTCAAAAAACTGCCGGAGTTAAGGGGCAACTCCTGTCGAAAGTGAAACCACAATAAATAACTGGTATGGCTTTAGTGGCACGAAATATGATCACAGCCGAAATATTGCATCAAAGTAAAGCCGCATACTCCGCTGAAACCGATTTTAAAGATGCGAGCAGCTGCTCTTTAGCGAGTGGCAAGCAGGTTACCATTTTGTCGAGCAACACTTGGTGACGCGTACCCCGGCACCTCCGTGATGTCATGTTGCAGCGGTACTACGGTTGATTCCGTGTGTTGTACCGCGTGTTGCAGCACCACGGTGACGTTGTGTTGCGGCCGTATAGGTGATAATCAGTCTTGCCATCCCTCTCTAGCAGATGTGGTTTCGGTTTTACCGTAGACGCCCGAAACCAAACTTTGAGTCATGATATTTATAAAAATGCTCGCAATGTCGAGAGAAAAAAATTGTACCTTGTAATCTAGGGACACTGACTGGGCTGAAAACAGTCGAAATTAAAAAATAATCACCAGAGTTTCACTTCATGTTAGTAGTACTTCCCAAATTCTGAACCCAGTCTTTTGTCAGGTTCTGAAGTGTGTGCTGGATGCAAGCCCTTGGTGTGTGTCGCAGGCAAAAGGAGAAGGAAGCCGAAGAAGCGGCACAGAAGAATGTGGAGGAGGCCCGGCAGCTGCTTGGGGAAGTGGAGAAGGAGCTTAAAGGACGCGAGGAGGGCAAGCAGGAACAGGTGGCCAAGGTCAAGAAGCTCGTCAAGTAAGCTCACCATTGATTTTCGCCCTGCCACAAAAGTACAGAGAAATGACATTTAAGACCATTAGCAGATAGCACCCACTGATATGTCCACTTCCGTTAGTGCCACAGATACTATATGTTTGTTATACTGATATATTTTTTTAACGTGTTTTATTATAGAGTTTTTATCGTATCAGCACCAGCAAACTCGGTGGCACCACTAGGCCATGTTCACCAGCGCATGGCTCGGACATGCTAAAGCAGGGAAAAATTTTTATTGGGACTCGCTGGGGAACTTGGTTTGAGAACCCATGTCCTGTATATTCTAACACAGAATGTGTTTTATGGGCTGTTTACTACGAGAAACTTCTCGTGAACAAGTGTCGTGGAAGGTGAGCGTCATGAATGAACGTCGGGAGCGACAGACACGCTGGGCAGCAGTACACAATGTTAACGTTATAGACCGACACGCGGGCTTGACGTCACGGAGCTGCGGCGGCGCTGCGATCGCGCCGGAGCCGGGGGGGTGTGGGCAAAAGCGCGCACGTTTCGCATGGGCGTCATAGCATTTCAGCATGCCGCGAAGCTGTGTTGCCGTTAATTGCGCCAAAATGTACAAGAAAAGCAGCGGAGTGAGTTTCCACAAGTTCCCGGCAGACTCTAAAAGGCATAGAAGGTGGATAATATCTGTGGATCGAAAAGTATGGTCGCCTCGCGCAAACGCCCGTTTGTGCGGCAAACACTTTCTTGAAGGCAAGTGCGGCTTCCATTTCAGTCTCCGTCCCGAGGCTTGCTTATGTGAAGGGAAACCGTTGTCTGATCGAGACCACCCGGATTTTGTTCCCATTGTGTTCGTGCACAAAGCACCGGTCAAGCGCTCGTCGGAGGCTCGTTACGCCCGTGCTACCCAGCAGAAGGGGAACGGCGACAGAACGGCAGTGTTGTAGGCGTTACCGAAAAAAAGTAACGAAATACGTTACTCGTTACTTGCAAATAAAAGGTACGCGTTACTGAGCTACGTTACGTGAAAATAAAAGGGACGCGTTACCGCTACCGATAAAAAGTAGCGCACGTTACTTCTGTTCTGCGTTACTTTTTTAAATTATGATTTAACACATTTTACGGTTTTGACGATACAGGTAATATGTCAAGAAACACTATGTTCATGCAGAAACTGAACATAATTACTTTATCTCTTTTTACGGTTTCACCTAAATACTTACGAGAAAAAACGCAAAGAAAAACATGGCTTGACGCCTAAAACACGTAAAAAAATTGAAGTATAATTTCTTTAACACTTCGGAAGTAGTAACGAGTAACTTAACTACGTTACTTGAAATAGTAACACAAGTACGTTGCCCCTTACTGTGACTAAAACGTAACGAGTGGGTTACTACGTTACTGAAAAAAGTAACGCGTTACCAACAACGCCGTTACTTGTAACCTGTTACCGCCAAGACTGCAGAACGGACAAAGCGTTACTGCTTATCATGCCTTGGGGTCATGAAAGCAGGGAAAATATCATACCTTGACGTGAAGACGCTGTGTGTATTTAATCAATTAATGAATGCACACACTTCCGCGGACCCACAGGCTGCTGATCCCGCCGGCAGTGCGGAAACCGACTCGAAGTAATCATAGACCTCGAGAGACGTGTACGCCTGCACCGTGTCGGCCGTGAACTGGCTTGGCGAAGAAACTAAGCAAACGACGACGTGAGCCATCGACGTCGGTGGCAGCAACCTTACGTCGGAAGTCCAGCAGGTCTTGTTTATACGGCGTACGGATCCTCGTAGGCAACGCCGTCCGCGCACAGTTTGTTTCGATACCGCTGCCGTTCAGGCTCGGGCAACGAGCTCAAATAGTCGGGCATAGCATACGACATACGTAGTGAGGAAATACGTCGCACAAATAAAGATACAAGCGTCCCTACAACGTCAACAACGAGTGCACGCCATAGAGCGCAATGGTGAAAACACGGAGAGCCGGGCTGCTTTTGCCCACATAGCTACCGCGCATGCGCGGCCTTCCGGCCGTGTTGGTAAACAGAGCCGCTCCGCGTGTCGGTCTATAACCGGGTGTTTCAGCAAAGACTGACAAAAATTCCTAAAATGAGTGATTTCGAGGTGCAACCGAGGCCAACCCTACCTAATATTAACAACCCCCTACCTAATATTATTAATATTAACACCACCCTACCTAATATTAACACTCTCCCAAAACAGAAAAAAAAGAATAAAAAAATTTAGTGGATGCATATGTTTACTATATATATACGCTGCATAAACTTCCGTAAAAGTATGTGTGAGTGGCAAAAAAAGAAAAAAGAAACGGGGGTGATATGTGTAGTAATTGTTTATTTGTGTACAAATGAGCAAGGTATGCACAGCGAGGCGATGCTCTAATCACTGCGACGTTGTCTGTATAAGCTGTCGAAAGGCGCGTTTGTCTTTTGCCGCCGCCCTTGTCACCAGGCGAAAGTTCAGCACACCCACTTTCGTCAGCTTGCATTTAGTAATTCAGGTTAACGAAATTTGGTAGAAATGTGTGGAGCATAAACATAAACATAGTAGTACATTTCTTTCAAATTGGATAAGTGGTTCAGAAGTTTACTGTTTTGGGGTAGTTTCCCAGCCGCATGACTCACGCAAAAACAAACCAACGTCTTGCAAAAAAAAAACACGAAGAAAGCAATTTGTAAGCGTGATGACCTGTGAGTGTGATGAGCATGAGGGCCCGTGTGAGTGTGAGGACCGTGAGGAGCTGTGAGTGTGAGGATCGTGATGACCTGTGAGTGTGAGGACCTGTGAGTGTAATGACCTGTGAGTCTGATGATTCGTGATGATCTGTGAGCGTGACGACCGTGACGATGACGGCGAGTGAGTTTTGGTTTTGTGTTGAACCGTGAGGGTGAGTCCGGGTGATGACCCTATTTTGAATAAATCGTGATCGCGAGTGGGCGTGAGTTTTGATTGCAGAAAAAATGGTGATCGTGAGTTTGAGTGAGGAGAGCTTAAAATGCCGACCTATGGTTGGGAGGCGCAAGAGTGTGTCCGCACAGAGCGACCATGTAGGTATTTCGCAGCGGTGGCTGCCAGAGGGGTGGGGGAGATATAGGAAGGGAGAGCATGGCCAGAGGGTATGTGGATGTATGGCCGGAAAGATGAGGCATTCATTACGCGAGTGCGTTCATTATGCGAGTAAATACGGTACACTCCGCATAACCGCGGCGGGTTAACCTCTTTGAGTGTGCTTCTAACTGAGCACCTGTGTACTGCGGGGAAGCAATGCCCGTGAACTCCGTGGGTGTCGCTTCCCTGCAGTGCACAGGTGCTCGGTGGGAAGCGCACTAAACAAAACTACCCCCTCCCCCCCCCCCCCCCCCCCCCCAATCAACACTTCGAAAAATTAGTCGAAACTACTATTTGAATATTCACACAACACTCTGAATAAATAATGAGTATGTAAAATGATAAAATTGATGGAAAAAAGATAGTAAAATAAATGAAAAATATCACACAAACTGCACACATAATGTTGTTTGTGTGGGACATACTCTGTGCTCCCCAGTTTTTTCTAGCATAATCGAGCCTGTATTTTCATTATGCATCATTTTTATTAATTTGTACGAAGTCTGCATTTAAGTTACCTTCCCGCTTTAATAGCAGATGTGCGTAAGTCTCGCCTTAGTTGTGCATTCTTCGACCCATGCTCTGCGGTCCTGTGCAGGGAGTGCGACAAGAAGGAGAAGGAGCTGGAGGGCAAGAAGCAGGAATACCTGGAACTGGAGCGCAAGGACCTCCAGTGCAGGGAGACCATCAAGTACACCAAGGCCAACGGGAAGAAGCTGGAGAAGGCACTGGTGGCCGAGAGGCAGAAGGTGGGCGTGTTCGAGAGGGGTGCCAAAAAGACCTACCGGACTATAGAAAGTTAAGACTATGGAAACAGCGCTGATGTTGTCCTGTCTCCAACATGATTAGCATCGATGCAATGCTAAATTTGTTGTGCTCTCGACTCAGCATCAGTGCTAAGATCAGCAATTTTTCCAGTGCCGAATTAGCACTGTGTTGCATGTCTGAACAGGCTTTTACTCTTCCATAATCGGGGTCCTCTGTCATAATTTTGGAAGAAATGCAATATAGCAGTATAAATATTGATGGTTCTCTTTTAGCACTCCAATTAGCTCTTGAAGTTTTTATATTTTGTGTGCTCCAAGCTGACACTTATGTCTGTTAAAGGCCGACGTACACTTAACGCTTTCCACTTTTGCCCTCCTCCTCCTTTCCTCCATCCTCCACTTTTTACCTTGCACCAACTTGGCTCCCCTCGCAGTTGAGAAGAGAAGAGCGCTAAGAGGATTATCTTCCCTGCAGAAAACCAAGGTTGTACGTCGGTCTTTCAGCTGAATATGCTGTTTTCATTCTGGCTAAAGCATTTCCTAGCATAGTTACAAGGGTCCGAACAAAATAAATTAACTTAAAGGGATACTTCAGCGAAGTTTGAAATATACCCGTTGCGTTCAGAAATAGGCTGAATATGATCCACAGTATCTGTAAATGACAATCATACGTTTGTATATTGAGCCTGATGGCTGTATTTTTCATTATAAACGACCCACGCTTGCAAGTGCTTGGAAAGCAGCCAGCAGAGAGCACGTGACATTTGGCGCAATCGTAATGTAGATTGTCTCGGGACAAACAAAGCTGCGGCGAGGCTGACGTCGACAGGATGCCCTAGCTGTTCCAGCCGCTGAAGCGGCTGAAGCACGCCGGCAATCGGGCCACTGCAACTAACTGCGAAGCTGCTTGTGTATGAATTTTGAGTGACCAGTTAATCTTCTATAATCTTGTAGAGAAACAATAGCGACGTCTGGGCAAGTCTGGGACACACTAAAGGGAGTCCCGGTGAGAGGGGAGTTAATCCTTGCCCTCTTCTCGTGGTGGCTGGAGAGCTGACGGGATGATGTCAGGTTCAAGGCATGTATAGTTCTAGGGGAGACAGACATCATCCCTACCTGTCAAGGTTCCTAGACGGGCATTACAAATGAGGCTTTAGCTACGTCCACCAGGTGCCATTTGGTAATTGTTTGATTTGTGTTAAAACTCATTTTCGTGTCTTCTTCAACAAGAGATTGGTGTATCCGATGTGATACAGCTCCCTTGAACACGTGTTGTCACAAATGACAATTGATGAGGTGACGAATGACTGAAGAAAACTAAACTTTTAATCAGGCGAACTTGTGCCCAAAGCAAAATAGAAGGTTAGCGTTGCAGGCATCGATGTCGGCAAAACGTCAGGATTGAGCGCTGGTTCGAGACTGACTCCGACTCATCACGCGAGCCCCTTTTGTGTAAGCATGGGCTTCTAGAACAATCGACGTAGTACATTCAGTCCTGGTACAAGCAACAGGGTTCTCGAATTTACCAGATGCGACACTTACAGAAATAACATAAAGGTGCGTGCACTCCCAGGCATCGAACCTCGACCTTTTGCGTGGGAGCCAAACACGATAACCGTTCGGCCACGGGCGCGGTTGCTCGAAGTCGCACGTGGCAGTATAGACCAAGATATAAGTGCCCCTTGTGAAGTGCTTGAATGCCAATATTATCAATCAACTAACTTTAAACTATCCAACCAGTGAAGAGGCACTTTGAGCACAGTGCTGTTTTGCTCATTCCATGCTCTCCATGTTCCTCTGGCAGTATAATCCTGGATTATGAAGTTCTGGGTTGCAGAATACAGACCATGGAGTTGTGGGTGGTTGGTCCATGTGTGACATCATGAATATTTATTGCAGATGGAGGAGCTTGAAAGTCAGCCTACCAAATTCGAGGAGGAGATTGAGGCACTCAAGGCGAAGAAAGACAAGCTCGAGGCAGAGAAAGTGGCGGCCGAAGAGAAACTTGCACAGGTGAGTGTTTCTCCATGGCTTCCACAAGCCTCGTTGTTGTATAGATGTTTAACAGCATAGAGACCTGGGGCATGCAATGCCTTGTTTCACCGCAGCAGATGGTCAATTTTGACATTGCAGTTTTATTTTTATTTCATTTCATTTACCGTATTTACTCGCAGAATGAACACACTTTTTTTTCCGAAAAATCGATGCAAAGTTGAGGGGGGCGTTCATTACGCGAAGTAAAATTTTTGGGACCGTATTTACTCGCATAATGAAAGGACCTTTTGTCCTGAAAAATCGAAGTAACTTCTTATCTCTTTGCGCGCGGCGCCCGACCCCCTAACCAAACTAAGTTGTGCAAAAAAAAAAAAATCCTCCGTTTTTTTTAGTTCCTTGGGGTTTTCTTTTTTTTTTTTTTGCCGCCTTTCGCAAGCTGTTTTGTTTGCTTAGGCGTTGCTTAGGCGAGGGCTCTCCGATTATCTTATCTCCTTGCGCGCGGCGCGCCACGCACGACCCCCGGTAACCAAACTGCGCTGCGCAAAAAAAAAAAAAAAAAGAAGAAAAAAAATAGCTCCTTTTTTTCTTTTGTTCGTTTCTCAGTTCCGTGGGTTGTTTTTTGTTTTTCTTTTTGCCGCCTTTAGCAAGCTGTTTCGTTTGCTTAAAGGGCTTCTCCGCTTCTCTTTCTTACCTCCTTGCGCGCGACCCCCGGTAACCAAACTGCGCTGTGCAAAAAAAGAGAAAAAAAAAAAAAAAGCTCCTCTTTTTTTTTACGTGTTTTTTTTTCTTTTTGCCGCCTTTCGCAAGCTGTTTCGTTCGCTTAGAGCGCTTCTCTTTCTTACCTACTGGCGCGCGGCGGCGCGCGAACCCAAAGTCCAAACAGCGCTGTGCAAAAAAAAGAAGCTACTCCATGTTTTTTTTTCTTACTTTCGTTAGATCTTTGCGAATTTTTTTAACGCCTTTTGCAAGGCGTTTTTCCCCCGTACTGCCCATGCATTCGCGACCTCGCAGCACCAGGACAGAAAAGTGAGTTCATTTCGCGCGCGTGGGGGGAGGCTGGGGGGAGGCGGTCAAAATTTTGACGTCCGAGTTAGGGGTGCGTTTATTACGCGAGTGAAAAAAAAAGTCGAAATTTTGAGAGCCGACTTGGGGGGTGCGTTCATTACGCGAGTGCGTTCATTGTGCGAGTAAATACGGTATTTACCTCAAGGGCGTCTTTGAGGACGCATTACATGAGGGGGGTAGGTGGTACATGCATTTGTAACAACATAGTCCAACAATTTTCCAAACACAATCATTGGTATAACAAAATCATCGCAATCAGCCCAGCACAGTTTACAAAAAGGAAGTCACATTGTACGTACACAACTGCAATTTTGAACTGGACGTAACTATGTATAAAACAACAATTTCAATATGGATAAACGGAAAGCGACTATGAAAACAACAAACTGGTAACATAAGGCCTTAGCTTGGATCACTGCACAGTGATTTCACTGTAGATACCAGTAGCTCGACCGGCTTTTTGAAAAAGAAAAATTGGGACGCTGGCAAGGAACAGGCATGAGACAATGTTTGATTGGAAACATGGTCCTCCATAATGCAGCTTGCTGTCTTTATCACCCCCAACATAAAGGCAAGCTGGTACAATGCCCATCGTGACGGAAACAAGCATGAGTAAAATTTGGTGCCATTCTTTGTGGCACTGTTGTGGAAGTGTCTACTATCTGTGCATCGCAGAACCAGGATCTGGCAAATGGGCAGTTGAGTGAGCATACAACATGAAGATTTTGTATGGTGTGCACCCATCCCCCGTGTTATTTTGCTTTTGTTGGTGACTCAACAATCGCTCAATAGCTGGACTGTCCAGACTATCTTCCCTAGACCAAGTAGTGACAGTGAAGTGAGAACGTTCTTGGAGCAGCCATAAGGATCACTCCAGAACTGCCAAATTTGGCAATCTCATATTAGCATGCGATTGGGTGAGCACTGTACGTGACAGCCTTAGTCTTTTTTATAGCATTACACAAGCCTTCAGCTTCATCTTGGCCTTGTTATTTAATTTTGTCATTGCATCTCACCTTGAGTACAGTAATCATCTCAAGTCTTTTGCTGTTTTGTTTCCAGGTGATGGCATCTCTGAAGACTGAGACCATGGAGCTCCAAGAAGAGAAAGCGGTGCACGAGCAAGAGTTGCTGGGCCTCCAGAAGGGGGTCAATGATACCAAGTCCAAGGTGGGTTTTCTTTTTTTATGGCAACAGCTATTATTAGTGGCAAGGTTTCAGGGTGGATCTCGTGGTGTGTTCCGTGTGGGTCATGACATGACATTACTTGATGTCACAATGTCATCATGGCGTCACGTGACATCACTGTCATGTGACACCATGGAAATTCTCTTTGCCAAATATTGTGGAGAAATTTTTCATGCTGTCACCCGGCATCACATCACACTGTGATGTCGTGGTTAGTGTGCAGCGCCTCAGCTTTTGCCACAGGTTATGTGCAGGACGTGGCAAGAAACCGGGGACGTTGAGCACCATGTTGTTTTTGACAAACCTCTGTCTGCTTTTTTTTTTCGCCTTGGAATTAGTATGACATTGCCCAAAAAGAACTGGACTTGTACGTCAGCACTGAAAAGAAGGCAACTGCCAAGCTTCACGAGATTGAGACCAATTTGGAGACTGTGACCCGCAGTCTGGAGGAAAAAGCTGGGTGAGTTGAAAGGGTTCCTTTTTAATGCTTGTTTTGTTACACATAAGGTGGCGCTGAAGGGATTGGCGTTGTACTATGCGTGGTCTACTTAATTTTATTCCTTTCACGTGAATTAACATGAACAAAAATAGTATTTTAAAAAATAATTATTGTTATATTTGTAGTTTGTGTTCATCCTATAATCTTTGTAACTTAGTCTGCCTCACTTATTGTTTTTTCTTTGCACCATCAACTAATGTATGGTTTTTCGGAACTGTAACCACCCACTAAAGTTTTCAATGAAACTAGTTCTGTTACTAAATAAATAAATAAAAATGTGACTACCGTATATACTTTCTGTTACTAAATAAATAAATAAAAATGTGACTACCGTATATACTTGCAGAATTAACGCACTTTTTTTTTCCGAAAAATCGATGCAAAGTTGAGGGGTGGGGGGGAGGGGGGGGGTTCATTACGCGAAGTAAAATTTTTGCGTCCGTATTTACTCGCATAATGAACGGACCTTTTATCCTGAAAAATCGAAGTAACTTCTTATCTCTTTGCGCGCGGCGCCCGACCCCGTAATCAAACTAAGCTGTGCGAAAAAAACAAAAAAATTCCTCTTTGTTTTCTTTTTTTCTTAGTTCCTTAGGTGTCTTTTTGTTTGTTTTTTTGCCGCCTTTCGCAAGCTGTTTTGTTTGCTTAGGCGAGGGATCTCCGCTTATCTTTCTTATCTCCTTGCGCGCGACGCACGACCCCCGTAACCAAAGTGCGGTGTGCAAAGAGAAGGAAAAAAAAAAGCTCCTCTCTTTCTTTTTTTCCCTCAATTCCGTGTTTTTTTTTTTCTCTCTCTCTCTTTTTGCCGCCTTTCGCAAGCTGTTTCGTTTGCTAAGAGGGCTTCTCCGCTCCTCTTTCTTACCTCCTTGCGCGCGGTGCGCGACCCGCATTTTGCAAGCTGTTTTGTTCGCTTAGAGCGCTTCTCTTTCTTACCTCCTTGCGCGCGGCGGCGCGCGAACCCAAAATCCAGAGTGCGCTGTGCAAAAAAAGAAAAAAAAAAAGCTCCTCTCCATTGTTTTTTTTGTTGCTTCGGTTGGACCTTTGCGAATTTTTTTAACACCTTTTGCAAGGCGTTTTGTTCGCCCACGCTGCCCATGCATTCGCGACCTGGCTGCATCAGGATAGAAAAGTGCGTTCATTTCGCGCGCTTGGGGGGAGGGCGTCAAAATTTTGACGTCCGAGTTGGGGGTGCGTTTATTACGCGAGTGAAAAAAAAAGTCGAAATTTTGAGAGCCGACTTGGGGGGTGCGTTCATTACGCGAGTGTGTTCATTGTGCGAGTAAATACAGTAATTAAATGTGCATTTTGTGAAAAAAAAAAAAAAAAGTGGCTAGGAGTGTTAGTTGAGCAATCTCAAAATGTTTCTTATCCTGAGAACAATTGTGGTGTCGGTTTGTATATTTGAGCCCCCAAGAAATAAGGCTAATGCAAAATGAACTGTATGGGAATTAAGTCTTAAATTTTAGCTTTTTTGCGAGACAAGAGTGGAAGGGTGGAAGCAGCACTGTACAGACGCTGCTGTAGTTTCATAAATAAAGAGTAAACCTAACCTAAACTCCTGCACCTAATGCTCCGTTCTATTGTCTCCCTCAGGTGACACAAAAGTTGCTCGTCGGAAGAGTAAAACATTGCTAGTGAAAATGTAGGAAAGACGACTGAGGGAAAATAACAAAATATTATTACAGTAATTCCTCGTTAGAAGTTTGAAGTCAACGGATTGGCAAAAAAATTCAATATAAGCGATATAGAGCCAAATGAAACAGTGGCAGCAACCTTGAAAGTGGACGGGAACACTGCGAACACTCTGACCGTATATATAATCAAACAAACCTTGGTTATGAACATCTCGCGGCAGCTTTACCGAGTAAAAAAAGAATTACTGTATTTACTTGCCTATAAGGAGACCTCAAATATAGGTCGATGCCTTTATATTAAGCTAGCCAGGAATTTTTAAAAAAAAATTTTAAATATAGGTTGATTTTTTTTTTTTTTTAAGAGGGCGCGGTACCTCTATTTACTCGTCCGTTTCAGCCACCAGATGGCGCGCGGCTCGAAACGTGGTTTCGAAAAGGCCCCTATGGCTAGCGTTTCTGGATATCAAAGGAGCCTACGACAGTGTAATTCAAGAGAATTTGTGGGGCATACTGGGTACATTAGGGGTAGAAGCTGGAGTAACTAATCTTTTAAAAGATATATATAATAGCAACAAGGTGCTTATAAAATGGGAAACAAATGTATCGGAGCCTATAGAGATAGAGCGGGGGCTTAGGCAAGGCTGCCCTTTGTCGCCTTTGTTGTTCATGTTATACTTACAGGGATTGGAGAACAAACTAGAGCGGAGCGGGTTTGGCTTCAACCTTTCTTTTATCAAGCAAGGTGAATGGATTAAACAATCACTACCGGGGCTGATGTATGCAGATGATATAGTGCTAATGGCCGACAACAAAGAAGATTTGCAGAAATTAATGGATATCTGTGGTACAGAGGGAGATAAACTAGGTCTTAAATTTAGTCAAGAAAAATCGGCAGTGATGATTTTTAATGATAAAGATGGTGGCGAGCATAGGATACAAGAGGTCATGTTGGAGGTAGTGGATAAGTACAGGTATCTTGGGGTATGGATAAATAATGGTGTTGAGTATCTAACGGAGCATGAAAAACATGTAGCGATGAAAGGTAGCAGGAATGCAGCCGTCATGAAACATAGGGCTCTGTGGAATTACAGTAGGTATGAAGTGGTGAGGGGGATTTGGAAAGGGGTCATGGTTCCCGGCCTGACCTTCGGCAATGCGGTCCTGTGCATGAGACCAGATATTCAAGCAAAGTTAGAAATTAAACAGCGGGGCGTAGGTAGGCTTGCTTTGGGAGCTCATGGAAATACGCCGAATCAGGGGGTACAAGGCGACATGGGATGGACGTCATTCGAGGGCAGGGAAGCTAGCAGCAAGATAGAATTTGAGGAGCGTTTGAGGGAAATGGAGGAAGAGCAGTGGGCTAGGAAAGTTTTCAGTTATTTGTACATGAGGAATGTAGATACCAAATGGAGAAAGCGAACTAGAAAATTATCAAGCAAATATTTGGGCGGCAGTGGGGGCGCCAACCAGGAATTACGGGTTAAGAAAAGGATAAAAGAAACAGAGAAGGGTCTGTGGGAAACGGGTATGCAGACAAAACCAGCACTGGAGACGTACAGAATGTTCAAACAGGAAATTTGCAAAGAAAATATCTACGATAGTTCTAGGGGAAGCTCTTTGTTGTTTGAGGCCAGGACAGGAGTATTGCGGACTAAGACGTACCGGGTTAAGTACCAGGAGATGGACACTTTATGTAGTGTGTGTGGGGAGCAGGAGGAAACGGCTGAACACTTAATACTTTTCTGTAAAGGGCTTCACCCAACAGTTAACAGTGACCGGGCGGATTTAATCAAAGCATTGGGTTTTAAAGACAGTGAAGGAAAAATAGACTTTACACGGGTAGAAATAACCAAGCGGAGGTTATCAGACTGGTGGCTAAAATCGAGGCAGGGGTGAGATTTAATCTTGGAATTCAAAACATATAATTAGATTTATAATGTTGGCTAGGTGGTGCAAGCCACCGCCCGATTCACAGGGTTTAGCCAGATCCATCCATCCATCCATCCATCGGTTGAACGCGCAACTTCTAGATGGCGCCAGTATCGAGGTGTGAAAAGGCCCGCGTTATCCGCTGCGTGAAATAGATCCCGAAATGTGCCGTGTTCTCCCGGCGGAGGAAGTTTCTCCCTCCCTCGCGCGCGCTTGGTATGTACGCGCGGTGGCCGAGTCCGGCCTCTGCGCTGTGTGATGCAGTGGGTGGCGCTCGTTTCTGTTCGGAGGTAGGAATAAAAATGCCGGTCCCCTTTTTTACGACGCTCGTTTCTATAGCTTGTTTTTCTTTTTTTTTTTTTTCTATCAAGTGACCTACAGTACCGCCTGTTCGAAATCGTCCTTTGCGGTGAGCGATTGAGAGTCAGGTTAGCATTTTATTTGGGTCAGCACTACACGTTCAATGGAGACCTCGGGCGGCGATGTAAATATGCATTGCTCCCCAAAGTGTGTCCAAGGTGCGCAATGACAATTGGAAAGGGTATTGAAGGCGCGCGACCGTCGGTTGGTAAAATACGTGCGTTATATTCACTTATTCAGTCTAATCATTTTTGCCAACGTCTTTTATCTGTTTCGACAAATGACATGGTCGAGTCTATTGATAATCTTAGCTAGATTGGACGTACGGAGCGTCCGGGCTTTAAATAAATTTGCTTCGTTTATGTGAATGAATAACTGTTTTCTCTTTTCCGTGCTCGGTGCTATGCAAAAATCGCTGAGATGTTATGGTAGCTCAGTGTGGCGGCGTTTTGCACGCTGACTCGCTATTGCATTCGCTGTGCACAATATGTGTTCAGATGGAATGTGCCAAATCGTATTTCCGATCGATATGATAGATTTACTTTGCTACAGTCTTAATTATATTTTCCTGATTTAAACTGGTTCGTCCCTGATCTGAGCCTAAGTTCAAATTCGAAGGGCAGACAGACTTAGCGTCGTAACAGCCGTAATGCGCAGAAAGAAATTAGTACCATGAAAGAAAAACAAAAGGATACGAGGTGGCTCAGTGTTATAGAAGTAATGAGTGTGCAAAGGATGCCATCATACGTGTTTTTTTTGTTTTTTTTTCTGTTTTTGTTTTTGTTTTTGCCTTTTTTTTTTTAACTCTCTGCATCGCTGGGAAACGCTCAAGGTACCAGCAAAGACAGCGAGCTGGCGTGAAATTTCCATCGAGCGGAAAAAGAGTGTCATTTTTATTTCATCATGCGCTTTCATTTTGATATGGCTCAAAATGGGCGCGAAATAGTAACAGGTAAGGCAACAAAATTTAGATGTTAGGCCTGGAGAACCGCCATACTCAGCCGTGTTGGGGGCATCTCTCGCGGGTCAATACGGCAA